TTATAGTCCCAACTTATTGGCATATATTGGGTACCTACTGGTTATCTAAGTGCGTTAGTCACCTCATTTTGGTCAAGTGTAGTTGTCAAGTTCCAACTGCTGATCTAAGTCTACCTCGTCAGTTTGCAGTGTGATGGTTTAACTGAATGACGCAACTCTATACAGTACACTATTTTTGTTATTGTTGTTAACTTTTTTGGGTTCAGCTAGTGAGTTGGTATACTTGGCTTGCATGACAGTCTTGTATCACTTCAAAATGCAGTCATCAAAACACAAGCGTGGTGGATAGATTTAGCTTATCCTTTAGGAAGTGACAACTATATAGTTTATCTTTCGAAGGTATTGTGTTCTCTGTCTGAAGTTTTTGCTGATGGTGTTGTATAGAATGGCAATAAAATGCTTCACGGTTAAACCATCCAGCTCAGAGAATCCAACAATATCAAAATCATCCTCCTGAGCTATAAATATTCTCCATCATTTCAAAGTTTACTTTTCTATGGTGACTTCGTCTGCATAATCCAGTTCTGCGTGGTCAGTTATAGTCTATCTAGTCTAGGCGTTAAGTCTATGACTCCAGTACTATGTGATTCACTTCCTCAAGGCTGCAGATACATGTAGAAACAGTGCCAAGGAACATGAGGAACTTCAGTTAAACTGTCTGTCTGCAGATAAACTTAGGTTGCTGAAAAGACTGGTTATATTTTTACCATTCAAATGTGTGTTAACTCAACAATATTTTCATCCCAGTTTTCAATATAAGCGAAACACTTATTCGTGCTCTTCAGCTGGTCCAGACAGTGCACTTAGTTTAAGCCTCAGGCAAACCCATTTTTTGAATTAGAGAAGAAAACAGACAACAGAGAATGTAGAGACAGAAAATCTAAATAGTCCCACTAGACAATGAAAAAGTAATAAAAGACAATTCAGTGGAGAAAATTTTCCTTCCGATGAATCATTTTCAAAAGCTGTACATCGTAATCACAGTTACAACAAAATATATATATCCATCAATGGCTGACGGGTGAGTACGAAGTCATCAAAAACGTTCAATAAAGTCAAAAGGTGATAACAGCTAGAAGGTCAAGTCAAGGTCACCAAAAATTGCTTATTGGATTGCAGTAGATAGACCAAGAAATGATTAAAGTGTCTTAGGGAGATTACGATCAATGCAAAATTAAAGATTGAACACAAAGCAGACTTGTAGCGCTGGATTACCAGTGATTCTGTTGCTTTGAGGTGGGGAATACGTACTCGCTTCAAAATATTTACCTTTCCTTTATAAATGACTTAGAAAGATGACTTTCGTGGAGACAGTGACCAGACATAAACAAATGCTCAAGAATCGAGCTCACGATGACTTTTCACAGTTATTAAACAGCCATTCAGGATAATGTTCGGAGATGCCTCTGGATAGAACATGCTGTGTGGCCCATGTAACCAGCTCCACAAGAGCAAGTGAGTTTGTAAACACACACGCAGGCAACTCAAGCGGTAGTTTATCCTTTATACACCCTCAAATCAGTCGTTAACTAATTCACCGAAAAGAAAGCTTTCTTCACTGAATTGTTTTTTTTATTAAATTACTTCAATTTTATCTAATGGAGTGAACTATGTGAGCGTAGGTAGGAATGTATACCGGATTAGCCACCTGTGATGATTAGCAAGGTTTATCCCTATGGTTATTCGTTTCCGAAAGTTTACAAATTATATACTTTGCTTACGGTGAAAGCATCATGCTTTTATCTACCTTATGACGGTGTCATTGACCAACCTTTATCGTAAAAATACTAGTAAGAATTTTATTGTTTGAATACCAACTGCTTTGTATACCAGTGACTGTGAAAACCACCCTAGCAGCGGCTGAGATAACCAATTAGGTTTCTCTATTTTGACTGAAAAGGTAATCTTTTCATAAAATACGACAATCTAACTGGTTAATTTAGTAGCTGTTAAGGTGGCTTTTAGAGCAAATCTTATATGCGAACAGTATATTATTGAAATGGAATATTATACCTACTACACTGGTCGTCACTATACTGTCGAAATTAAAACTTCATTGTGTCTAGTAATTATACAATACTCTGATGGTAAACATTGGCTCGAAAAAGAATTTGGTATGCTACCAACATACCCAAATACACTGCTTTTGTTAAATCTAATGCATGTCTAGTTCAAGTATGACCAGAAGTCGTTGAATCTCTGGGCAACATGGTATATAATTCCTACTAGAGCTTGTGTCCTAACAAATCAATTAAGCCTCTTATATTTTTATTTTTGCAATCATCACGCAACATTCAGTTTCTGCATGGAAGCTAGATGGCATGAGTACAGAGATACTGACCAATCACTTTCAGTCTACTACTTCCAGTTGGAGGAGACGAAACTCTGACAGCTGAATAATCGAAAATGATAACGCAATTTGCGTTCAGCTGGCGAAAAAAGCGTAGGTAAAGTGGTGATAAGGATCGTGACCTTCAGATACTGAGACGTTCAGAAAGTAAAAATCAAAAGATAGTTACTAATTGATATATACTGCAGTTATCATTTAAAACACGTGATATCAATTCGGTTACATTATCAGATGTGACAGCCGTGCCTAGTAAACTAGTTACTAGCCTCTCCTAAGCCTGGATAAAGAGGGAAGGTTCGGCATACGGCTAGCAACCCTACGCCGGAAAACCAATCCAATCACTAAAGAAACTTTAAAACACAAAGAAAATATAAAAAATAAAAATAAAATTATTCCTCACTGGAATCGGGGAGATGGAATGACGCCGGTTGGTGAAAGACTTCGGGAAGCCAGTTGGCCGATGCGTCTTCTCTTCTCACAATGAAAGCAAAAGTAAGGATGGGGACATGGACTGTCCGCACGATGTTTGCAGCTAGTTGGCAAAGCTGCCCAGATTACCAATGAAATGAGAAGGCATAGCATAGAAGTGCTAGGAATCTGCGAGGAATCTGCAGATGGAATGGAAATGAACTCTCTCAACTGGACAGTAAATAATTTACTCTGATATTGTCACCAGATGACAACCACGAGCACACCGAGTTTTCGAGTGGCTATCATGATGTCCCCAACAGCATCAAAGACTCTCAGGCGATGAGAACCAATCTCCTCCAGCATAAGGATCATGACAGCGAGATTCAGATCAAAAGGAAGGAAGGTCACCATCATACAACGCAACGCTACGCTGTGCACCTAAAAATAATGCTGAAGGAGGACAACTGTAATCATTACTAGACACGACCCCATCCCAGTTGGTGTCATCAAAATTATAATGGGTGAGATGAATGCCAAACCGGGAGCAGAAAACATAGGAAGAGAACTGATCATGGGTCTTTAGGATTTGTCCTGGTGCGAACTTGACAGACGCAAAGACCAATCACTAATTATTCGAACTTGTTATATACCCACGAATACGAGACCAAGGTAGAACACGATAGCGTAGTCGGATGGAATAGTATATTTGGATGGTTATGCCAAAATACCGATGCGTTCCAACTAACTGGCTAGAGAGTCGAATACGAGCAATGCAACGTAACACGACAGCGTGCCAAATGGCCAGGATGCTTGACCGGGTGCCTTCAGCTTAGCGAGTCCAGTTAAACTATCAAGGTCAGCATCGATGTCGAAAGTCGTCAAACCCTAGGCTATTGATTTTGGGGAAGTGTATGACGCTACAGATCACTCCCCCCCTAGTGGGTTCGTGAGGACCCTAAGACGATACCAGCCGGAAGTAAAAACCCAGTGGTTTCTCCACTGGTAAAACTCTTCCGATGGGCTGACTGCGTGAGGTGGCCCCTGGTTGTCTGAACCTTATTCTAGGGTGTCGTGGCGATTAAATAAAATACAATAAATGAAATTGTACGTCGGTCGCGGTCATCTGTTCCTTTCGACGTTCCGTCCAGTGCTCGTTGCACCTGGAATATAAATAAAAGTCTTTAATACCACGAAAACGTTGCATAAAAATGGGAATTATTTATATATAAACATATCGAAAAATAAAAATTTACGCTTATCTTCCCCGTTTTTTTAAAATTTCATTACATGGTAATAAAAATTGATATAAAAAGGCAAAGTATACGAGGGTTTGTATTGATGTATCGGGTAGGAGTCCGGAGTTGTTTTGGCGTTGAGCCTTCGGTAATCACCGGTTGGACGCCAGTCACTGCTATCCTTTTGGGAACCATGTGCAATGGCGATGCCCAAGGATTGTTCGACGGTCTGATAATGCCCAGGTCGAGCATGTGGTCGAATTCATTTTTCGCCGTTTGGAGCTTATCGGGGGCTAGACGGCGCGCTTTGGATGCCACAGGTGGACCTGTGGTTGTGACGTGATGCATAACATTGCTGGTTATGCACGGAAGAGTGTGCTTCGGTTGCTGTAACTCTGGATATTTCTCCAGAACTGCCTGGTAGGACGCGTCGTCTGATTGTTTAGTCCTAACGATGGCTAAACTCGGACCTACATAGGTGGTGCCGCCAATGGATAACTTTGTGCTGTTATCTATCAGTCGTCGACGGCGAGCATCTACGAGTAGATCGTAATGGTTTAGCAAATCTATGCCAATGATGGGCATAGAGACGTCTGCCAGGAGGAAAATCCAGTGGATAGGTTTGCGTAAACCTAAGTTGAGGTAGGCATACCGTCTCCCGAATGTCGCGATTGCCTTGCCGTTGGCTGCTTGAAGATTGAAGGATGGGTCAAGATGACGCTCCTTTGTCGTTGCTGGAAGAACGCTAACTTCTGCGCCGGTGTCGACGAGGTAGCGGACTTTCGTTTTAATATCCGTGACGTAGAGCAAACGGCTTTTTCCGCCGGCTACGGTTGCCGTGAGCACGTGCCGGCGTGACCGTTTCCCGAGTTCGGGTCCTTCTTAAAACGGCATGGTTTACGACATTTTCTGGCTTCATCCCCGTAAGTGTTATGAAACCAGCACCATTCAGGGTTTTCCACCCTGTTGGGTTTCGTTTTAGGGCTACCACGCGACTTGCTGCGATGCGCCAAGGTGCGTTTCCGTGAAGTGCTACGTGATCTAGGACTTCGAGATCGTAGCAACCGTCTCACAGAGTTGCACAACTTGGTCACCTCTGAATCCTGGCGCTCTGTTTTGTCGCAGATAGAATATACGTTGGAGACGGGTCTGCTGGATATCTCCAGTATTTTATCTGCTGAGGCTGCCAGGTCGTCGAGTGGGACTGACTGGAGTGTCACCAACACGGTTTGCACCGGTTGTGGTAGTTTCGAGAGAAATAGTTCTCGGAAGAAACCATCGTCAAATGTTCGTGCACCGATTACTTCTCGCATGCGTGCGAGGACTTCAGTAGCTGAGTGGCTGCCTAGCTCGATGTTACGAAACAATTCGTCTAGACGTTGGCGATCTGTGAGATCGCTTTTCTTCAAGAGTGCGGCCTTTAGAAGTGCATAAGGGTCACTTACTTCAGGATTAAACATGTTTGCTGTAACATACCTGTTTAATTCTCGCGGTAGTGACCGTATGACAGCAAGAAATCGAGAATGAGGATCTGAGACACCCTGTTCTCGAAAATCTGCCTCGGCATACAGAAACCATGTTTCTGCATTGTCTGGCCAATATGGCACGAGTTGGATCGTGTTCGTAGTCGACTTAATACGAATAAGCTTGGGAGTGTGGTCGGACATGAGAAAGTGTAGTAAATGGATATATAAATGTTATCGAAATGAAAACAATAAACAAATATAAAATGGAACAGGCTCACCAATTCAATACTTGTTATTGGTCGGGATATGTGATCACGTCGGGCTCACCAATTTAGGATTTGTCCTGGTGCGAACTTGACAGACGCAAAGACCAATCACTAATTATTCGAACTTGTTATATACCCACGAATACGAGACCAAGGAAGAACACGATAGCGTAGTCGGATGGAATAGTATATTTGGATGGTTATGCCAAAATACCGATGCGTTCCAACTAACTGGCTAGAGAGTCGAATACGAGCAATGCAACGTAACACGACAGCGTGCCAAATGGCGAGGATGCTTGACCGGGTGCCTTCAGCTTAGCGAGTCCAGTTAAACTATCAAGGTCAGCATCAATGTCGAAAGTCGTCAAACCCTAGGCTATTGATTTTGGGGAAGTGTGTGACGCTACAGGTCGAGAAGCACTCGGTGAAATGAAGAACTTCCATATTAGATTGATTGTTTGATTTATAACTCACGGTGATCTAGTATCATTCACTTGATGACGTTTCGAGCATAAATTATTACTGCTCATAATCATATCAATGTAATCACACTGCCTTCGACATTTGACTTTTATGATTACGTCACTTTATATGAGTTGTTTTTTAGTGATAGCAAAATTTTCCATATCTCTGGTATAGGTGTTACATCATTTCTGTTACATGTGTTGAGTGTTGTTTCGATGATCATAGATTCAGTAATCAATCTCTCTCTCCATCTAATCTAGAAAAAACTCGGCTATCGCTATGCATGCATTAACACACAACCACACAATCGGGTGAGATAAAGCCACTGTACTCAAGTACAACATAAATAGCTTGAGAGATTGATTACCGCATCTTTGATCATCGAAAC